GCTCTGCAGCTGTCAGGTTCTTTAACCCAATTAACGGGTCTTTTCGATTTTCATAAAGCCCATGACGTGAAAACGAAAACAAAAAATTGGGATTTCCGGACATCATGTGATGGAGATGTTTTGAATGCAGCAAATATGCATCCAAATTCTGCTGCGAGGTGACACGCCACAAACCATAACCTGTTTTTGTTTTTTTTGCAACTGCTAATGTATAAATGTGGTACAGTGAAGTAGAACACAAAAAATAATTAGTTTGTGACTCACACTGTAAATCTCCATGTTTGGTCAAGTTCGGGCATATCGAATGTTTCTATAATTGCTTCCCAGGGCGGAGCCTTTTGATTGTCCGCTTTGAATGAGGGGGATATGCGTGTCAGTAATCGCGCTTTTTCATACTGTTCATCTCGTGATACCGTCGACCCGGAGACAATGGCGCCACGCGATGCCCGACCTGAGCGCCACGCAGCGCCTGAGTAGGCAGACGGTTCACGAGCAGGTCCAGACAAGCCGCCTCCACAATACTCAGAGGCCGAGCCGCTCCCACTCGAATCAGCTCGTCCTCCCGAACACATCGGGAGGCCAAATGGGTGTTTTGGAGCTCAAGTGATGAAGACATGCAAAACGCTGCTGCATTTTTTGATGCAGCCGTCAATAGAAATAAACATTGCCATTGTTTAAAGCGAGACTGCGCACTTTTCTTTTTTTAAAACCTGCTACATGCACAGCAGCGCTGTCTGAAAAAGGCATTTCCATACAGCGGATTGTGTCGTGTAACAAATTGCTTTAGATGTATTGCAAAAAGGGTTTATGTGAGCGGCGGTGGCTGGTGGAAGATGTTCTCGGGCAATCGAATCCATTTCAGCTGACATCCCACGTTGATTTAATGCAAAACAATCAAAAAACAAACGACTACTTTCTAGTTAAATGTTTTATATTTATTCCAACATGAAAAAAGGCAGTAATCATATTTTTGTCACCCTCACAGTATATTATATATATATACAATGATATACATCTTACTCGCAGTTTTAAAATTGAATAATTTCATGGCCAAAGTGCTTCTTAGACCCGCCTCCTGCAGGCAAGAAGGCCGTAGCACAGCTGGAACACGTATGACGACAGGACGCGTGTATGACAGGCAGGATGTGCAGGAAAGCCATATGTTTTGCTCAGATATCACATTTTATAAATATTCCACATTTCGACATGTTTTAGAATTCTTCTTATTTCTTTTCAAATTTGTTTTTGGGCCCCCAGGCGGGGCGACGCCCCATCGCCCTCCATTGGCCAGCTGCCATAGAATTGCGCTGGAATGAGGTCTGTTAGTGGATAAACAGGTATTTTACTCAGGAGGCTGCAGTTTGTGTCACCTGTGAAGGACTTCTGTTGCCTCAGGTGGAAACGAGTACTTTCAAAGCATTTTTGTTATCATTTAAAGGCAAACCGGCATGTTTTAATTTACCAAACCAAACCGTTTTGTTGCCTGAACCCACCTGGGCGGCTTTATCTCGCTGTTTTCCGGTTCTAATTTAACACCTAACACCTAAAACTCTGAATGGAATATGTTTTGCTGGAGACGTGATGAAGAGGGCAGTTTGGTTGTCGGGGAAAAAGGTTGTGCAATGACGCGATCAATTGCGAGGCTGACTCATTGACAAAGACAAAAACACCAAGACGGTGACGGCGAAACGGGCCAACCCGAGGCTTCAAAGCGGCAGTCAACCAGCCAGTGGGAGACGTCGCCATGACTACGTTCACTTGTTCTAAACAGCCTGCGGTTCAAACTCCCGGGTGTGAATGTGCATATTCTAACTTTGCATTTTTAAGGTTTCCAACGTAACCTCTCGTTCCCACAAGTAGAACCGTTGTTGCCTAATGATTCTATTCTTTAATCAAATCAGAATAGTTCTAATTTTATTTTACGAAAAAAGTCAAAACAACACACCAGCAGTGAAACTCAAACTGCGCTCCGAGCACGCGAGGACATCCTGTCAGTCAGTGGGACAGGAAGCAGACAGCCGGCGGGTCGTCTGGCCTGCTCTGCCGTGGGCACGTAGGGGTCAAGCCTGTCAAGTGGGAACGGGGCAGAGAGTGGGGGGGGGGATCAGTCAGGTGAGGCAGATAGTGAAACAAAGGACGCCCCCCCCCTCCCCTCCCCCCCACCAACAGCCTGCCCTCCGTCCCCTTTTCTCCATCCGTTCCGCTTCGGAACAATCACCACCAACAGGAACAGGAAGTGATGGCGAGAGGAGGTTGACCTAACCGGGGCAATTCCTTTTGGGCCGGGTCGGACCAGGGAAGAGAGGGGTAGGAAAAGACAGCTGTGGAAATTGCGGATTAAGATTGAACAGACAAAAACACACACAGTTGCCAAAACAGTGCCAGGGCATCCTGCTCGGGATCGCGTGCAACGCCTCCTATTTATAGAATATTCCAGCGGTGCCGTTTTAACTGTTTTCATCCTCTTAGGTTTTGTCGTTACGACCAGCGTCCCTTTCCTGGCCGCCCCGTGTGTGTGCGAGTCCGTGTGTAGACATTGTTGTTTGGCCCCTTCGTGGGGGG